TTGAGCCCCAACAAGGGCTGCAGTGGAGCCCAGCCCTTGTGTGACCACTGCCAGGCTGAGAGCACTCTGCACCCCAATGCCCCGGCCCAAAGGGAACCCTTGGTTTGAGAGGAGTAGGCAGCCCTGCGTGCAGCATCACAGCCCAGCATCCTCAAGGCTCTGGTACCCTCTGCTGGCCCTGAACGGTTCTTTTACTAACGAAGCCTCCTTTGCTAACTAAGCCTCTCCTGGGATGTATTTTTCAGTCTGAAGGTCACCCGCTTGATGCAGCAGCAGCCTCTCCAGCATCCACAGCATCTTTGCTCCCCTGTGATGCCCAATGCTGCACAGTCTTCAGAGTCCTCCACCAGCACTCTTGCACATCTGGCTGGTCCTCCGCTGTTGAGGGTCGGGACCTACCCACACCTCACATCTTCAGAATGCTGAAAAGAACCAGTACTGCTCCACTAGAAATGACAAAAACCCACAGAGTTTGACAAGTGCAAGGTCATGCAGTGAACGCAGAACGGCGAACAGCTGCAGAAGTAGGGCAGAGAGCCCAAAAGGCTCCTGGCGAGTGAGAAAACCCTCCCCAGAGCCCTCAGCACAGAAAAGCGGTGGCAGAGGCTACTTGGAGGGCACACAGCTCTTGGGCATCACCTACAACCCCATCCTCACTGTGAGGCAAGTGGGGGGCTCTGCCCACGCCTCCAGCAGCCCTTGGAGAGGGGAAGGAGGGATAAGCAAAGAGCAGCCTGAAGCAGGGAGCAACAGGTCATTTCCTTTGCTGCTGCTGGCAGATCGAGGAAGATGGCAGCAGCCTGCAGAGACAGATCAAACTGAGCAAGAAATGAGTCATAACGCTGCTGGTGCTGCCCATGGGGCTGTGTCCCACCTTGAGACAAGTCCCCAGGGTGCTAGGAGGGCAGTAGGTAACACAGGGCAAGCAGGAGGGATGCCTTTCCAACTGCAATCCTGCACCGTATCCCAAGGGGATATCACCTCTGTCCTTCCAGGCAGTTAAAGACCACACGCTACCATTAGCAGTTTTTATTTTAATACAAACTAAAAGTGTTTGGAGCTCAAAGAAACACTGAAGAGACACAGGGACAGCACACATAAGGGGAACCCTAACGGCCCCAAACTCTACTTCAAGAGGGAGGCTCTAGGCTGTTTGGAAAGCTTTTTCCAGGAGCAGGTGCTGACCCCATGGCACTCTCTGCCCAGATGTGGGCAGGTGTTAGGCAGCAGTGGTTCCCTCCCCACACATGGGATGGGGAAGTCATTTGATGCGGTAGAGGACTTTGCGTTGCATGCGGTGCTGGATCTCCCCCCGTCGCATCATCAGTTGCAGCACCTTGTAGATGGCGTGTTCTGGGTATTTCTGGAAAAGAGGAGAAGAGGGGGAGATGAGCTGACAGGGAAAAGCTTGCTGCAGCCCAGCAGGAACCTGCAACCACCAGTAAAGCCTGGCTGTGCCTCTCTGGAGGGAGGGAACCCAGGTACTGACGCTCCTTTCTCATTTCACTATTTCAACTCTGACTGACATCAGCACCACATATCAAATAGTTCCAGTTTCAAGGGTAGGATCCCAAACTACTCAAACAGCCCCAAATCCCAGTGCTTTTGCAAAAGACTTCTCGCCTCACTCCCCTTGAACTCTACAATTGCATTGCACACCACTCCCTACAAACAACTTCAAAAGCAAATATGACCAAAAGGCTCTCCAGCCACCTCTTGGGGAAGGAGTTTTACCCCCTGAGCAGCAGCCTAGGGTGCCTGGTTTCACAGCCCACCCCTCTGCAGGGTCCCTGGCCCACCTGCCGCATGAAGTCCTGGACGATGCTGTGCTCTGACACCTGAGAGCCGATAGCAAAGCGGCGCTTGAGCTGCTTCTCAATGCGGGACAGCATCTCTTGGTCCTCCTGCGTCGTGAAGCCTTCAGCCCCTGGAGGGAGAAGCTGTGTGAGCTCTCTGTGCTGCCCAGACATCACTCTCAAAGCCAGAGTGCCCATCTCCCACATCTCCCAGCACACCTGCGTGCCTCAAGACTTAAAGGAACCCATGAGCAAATCTGCCACCAAAGGCTGTGGAGCTTCAATGACACAGATGAACACAGACTTGACTGCTTGAACTTCCTTGAAACCCTTCATGCCACACTGCCTCTCAAGGAAACACTGTCTCCACCCCCACAGGGAAGAGGTTAGAGGACAAACACTTTAGGGAACCACCTCCAGCACCATACTCTGCCCTTGGGACCATGAAGGGCCAGACCACCAGGTCCAGCACTGCCTGGGGGGTGCCTGGGAGCACCCCTGCCCCTGCCAGCCTGGTCCCAGGAGAGGAGCTTGGCTCTCCTTGCCCAGACCACCCAGGCCTAGCACATCCCCCCTGCCCCCAGCACACAGTGTCTGCCTCTCACCTGACAGGCTGCCTGACATGGCCGCATCAAGTGTGGACACCTGGAAGAGCCGCAAGGCCTCCTCAACATCTGCCTCGGTGGCGAAGGGCTGAAGCTTCATCTTCGCCAGGGACTCAGCAATGCGCACAATGGCCTCCAGCTGCCTGCAGTCAAAGGAGATGTTCCCTGCTTTCTACTGCAGCTGAGGGGTTTTCTCCCAAACCCTGACACCCCCACCTACCCCACTCCAGGTACCTCCTGCTCTAAACCAGCACCTCCAGTGTTGCCCTGTTCACAGAGGGCTCCCCCAAGTCCCAGCACCCCACTAACCCCATTCCTGGGCTACCCTAGGTGACAACCAGCGACACAACCCCAACCTCAAGGGTTTTGGTGGGGTGAGGAGGAGGCAGTTGCTCACCGGACGGTGATGGGGATGCTGGAGCGGCGGTCGCTCTCCTGCTCATGCTGGCGAGTGCCGCTCCGCATCAGGATATAGCGGTTCTTCAGCTTCTCTGCGGCCGCTGCTGACAGCCGAGGGCCACATTTCCTGCAAGGGAAGACAACAGGAGCTGGAGGCAGCGCTGCTGGGGAGGGTCCCCTGGGCAGAGGAAGCCCTGGGCAGCCCTCACTTCCTCAGGCCATGCTGCAGCACAACTGCTCTCATTTCCCTTTTTTTCCAGGCAGGAGTTTAAAAAAGGCCACCCAGAGAGAGCACTTGCAAATATCAACTGAGTTGTTTATTTCTCACTACCACCTCCCACCCTGCAGCCCAGGCACTGCCATTAAGTGATGGCCCTCACTCACGTCCGACAGAAGGAGATGAGCTTCTTCAGCTTGTTCAGCTCAATCTCTCCCTCCACGGCCTGGGTCTGCGTCAAGGCGCTGACGTGTAAGGACATCACGTGCTTGGCCAGCGTCTAGAATAGCAGAGAGCTGTCAGGCAGCTGGAAACGCCACTGCCTCCCTCTCCCAAAAAACAGGGCACCACGACTCCCAGATGCACCCACATGCACCAACCCACCATGTCTCGCTCCTCATTGTGCTCATCCTTGACAATGAAAATCATGTCAAATCGGGACAGGATGGTGGGCATAAAATCGATGTTCTCCTCGCCCTTGGTCTCGTCCCAGCGCCCGAAGACAGAGTTGGCAGCTGCCAGCACTGAGCAGCGGGAATTGAGCGTGGTCGTGATTCCTGCCTGTGTGGGAAAGGAGAAATGGATGGGGTCAAGATCAGGTCTATGTCACAGCAGGGCTAGAAGGCTATTAACTTGTAGTGAAAGGTCCAAAGCACTTTGCAAGGACTCATCCTCAATCACTTGCATTTAAATAAAACCCTTTACATAGCACCCTATTGCTCTGCAATGGTTCAACACCAGAGAGGGGTCAGCACAGGAGCTACATGGGGGTGGACCCACATGTCCTTCTGGAGGAGGACTGGCTTTGGCTGAGACTTGAGCACTGGGTAACTTCATTTAAAACCTCATCAAGGGCAAGGACACACAGGACCCTATCTCCAAGTTTGCAACCCGAGAAAGAAATGGGGTGGCCAGGGGTGAGTGCCCCTGTGCAGCCCTGGGGTAAAAGTGTGGATTTGCA